CATCAACAAGTTTTTCAGTGACCATAACGGCGGCACCAGTATTGATATCTTGATAAGCATGAACTCCATCCAAATAACCTTCAGCAACATCTCCATTGTGGAATACAATTTTCATGTTTGTGTTGATGTTGGTGTTTCTTTTGAGACGGAGTTGGATTGAGCTTTTCTCGAGAGGAATAGCAACATGGAATTCATGATGGTCGTCGAGTGAACGTCTAACTCTTCTGAATTCTTGAATTTTCACAGTCCGTTGTTCTGAAAAGTGAAAAACGAACGTTTGAAGAATATTTCATTAAAATGTTATAGTTTGAAAATTTGTAAAACTAACGAATGGGAACTGCAGCAATAAAGCCAATGAGACAAAGAGCTAGTAAGAGTTTCATGGTTGGAGAAACTGTTGCTTCTTGTTTCAATAGCAGTATTTGGGGTTTTTATACTGCTTTTTTTTTAATATAATATTTTAAATGATCAGCTGAGTAAACTTAGTGTTTAATTTTTCAATTAAAATCTGAACATTTTACAGAAATTGCATTTTCTTATTGTTAATAGGTTTTTTTATTAAAATGGATTTCGGTCTGTTGTTTTTGATGTTTGTAAAGAAATATTAGAAATATTTTTGCTCTCTGGGAATCGATTTTCTTTCTGTTGATTTATTCTTATTATATGGTTTCCTAATGTGTTTTCGTCAACGATTCATTTTAATAATTGTTTACAAACAGTTAGATGAATAGTATGTGCGACAAGACGTCATCTCATAGTTACGTAATCACGTGTATCCACACGTGATAATTATTAACTTTGGTCAATAGAATACAGCAACCGTTTGATATGGTTACCGACAGTAAATATAGATAGTTCATAATCGTAGAAGTCCGATCTTGAACAGTATCAAATGTAAGCAAGGATATTCTAAGCGAATATATGAGAATCCAATTAAGAAATTGTTCTGCAGTTCTTTTTTCTTTTCTTTTTTTTGGAACGTTCGAAAGAAAAGTATTGAACATTCTTTTTTTCTCAATTGGACAATTCAACCTCCTCTCCTGGAATAAGTCTAAGTGATATTAAGTGAGTGTAAGAAATTAACATGATGAAACCTGAAAGAAGGTAAACTATGAAAAGGAAGAGTGGAGAAATACCAGAGAAGGAAGTTCTCTGTTCTCTTAGAATGTCATTAGGACATATTGGGAATAGTTTGGAGAGAGGAAGGGTGACACAAGATATACTCAACAGATTCGAAAATGCCTTGGATAAAATAGATGAACTTCTGAGAACTAAAGAAGTTCTTACAGTCCAAGTGAAGGTATTAGACCTTCAAAGAAGAGCCAAATTGATACCTCTGCAAAATAAAAGGAAGGCCAGTGGGACTAAGAAATCTCCTAACAGCCCTGACAAAACAGTAGAGAGGGCACCATGGGAAGAACATTGTACAAGATCACAGTATAAAAGCACCCCAACAGTAAGAGAACCAATAGGTACCCAACATCCCAATAGTGGACCAATGGATTCCTTCGAAATTCAATTGAAAGAAGGCATTAGAAATGGCACCGCCACCTTGGAAATGGAGGAATCAAGTCTTGAGGAACTAAGCGAAGAGGCGTCCGAAAGGGAATCACAAGAGGCAATATACAACAACTACTCTGAGACTCAATGCACCCAAAATTCAGTACTAACTGAAGCTCAGTTGAGGGAGGTAGAGTTCGCCACACATTGTCAGACCAAAAGGCAGCTAGAGGCACTTAAGAACGAACTACAGGCAATGTTCCACAAAAAGCTAGATGATCTAAAGGCTCTGATGAAATGTGACCAGAATTCCCAAATGTCTAAAGAATATAAGGAGTGGCTAGAAAGAATGGCTTTAAGAATGGATGAAATGTCAGACAGAGCAAGTCCTACAGCTACAGTGGGCGTAGTGGATATATCACCTCTGGGAGAGTTGTCTGAATATATTTATGACGGACACAATATGCCACTACAGCAATTTGTGTTGAGAACACAGGCAGTCCTAGAAGCCTACCCGCATGCAACTGATAGGGTTAAGTACCATTACCTTCTATAGGTCACAAAGGGACTACAGCACAAGTACGTCCTGACCTATGAGTACGCAAAAAATCCCTTTCAGGACATATGGAAGGTGTGGAAGAGTGGAATCGGAAAGGATGGACCAACCATCAATGACACCATAGAAAAGATAAAATTAGGCTTCAGTCAGACTTTGGAAGAAGGAATGGTGGTATCATTGGCCATCTTACAGATATATCTAATGGTAGAACAATTGGAGAACAGAGCTACTTCAGAAGAGGTATCCTTCCTTTGTTCAGCTATTTTATCTCTGCTGCCAAAGGGCTACGCAGCAGGTTTCTTGAAAAGTTCAGCTTGGAAGTTAATGAGTCCTTTCAATCAGCACTGCTTCGAGAGGAACTGCTGAAATTTATAAACTCAACATGTAAGAATGAAGAGGCAATGACATGTACAAGAAAGATGACGCTCATAAGAAATTCAAGCCAGCAGCAATAGCAACTCACAGGAAGAACAATTGTCCAGCTTGCAAATGCCAGCATGACATCAGAAACTGTGAGTTTTTTAGGGACTGTTCCTATGGCAGCAAAAAGGGGATCTTACGGGAGAACAAACTCTGCTTCAAATGTTTCGGAGCAGGACATCTGGTTACAGCTTGTCAGTCTGGTGTCAGATGCAACAAGTGTAGAGGAGAACACAATACCTTAATGCATGTTCCAAAAGAGGACCTTATATCAGGATCTGGGAATGGGCACAATACTCCTAGGGTTAAGCCCAAATACAAAAAAGTGAGCAGAGTAACTGCTACAAACTCTCCAACTATTTCACAATTGCCTCTGACAGTCTTCGAAGTAAAGAATCAGAGGATATCAGCATTAATGGATGCAGGCTCACAGATCTCAATGGTGTCAAGAGAGTGTGCCACAAGACTTAAGCTGGATAAAGTTGGAGAAGTAGGCTTGCAACTAAGAACACTCCTCGCAGAGAAAAGGTTCACAGCAGATGTAATAGTAATTCCTCTACCAAATGGGCTGGGTCTGATAGGAGGCAGTTGTTAGAGATAAACTCATAGAGGTCTATCAAGAAGAAGAGAACATAGAGATAGAATGGGAAGGGAAGACTACCCTTATAAGAATCCCAGAAGTAATGGGAGATTTAGATTTGATAATAGGAGTAGACAAGCAAGATCTACACCTGCAGCAAGGCAATATGTCCCTCGATAACAGGAGAATAGTAAAGTATCCATTAGGTTGGGTCTGTATTGGTAGAAAAACGCAGGATCCATTAAGCCTACTTACTCAAGTGGAGCTGGGAGCCAATGTCTGCATCACTACGCAATCAGTTGAGCAACAGGAATCTCTAGTGGAGGATGATGAAATCAAAGCTAGAGATACCTATGAAGGAGAAAAGCTCAGCATAAACAATGTTAAAGCACTGGAGCAATTCAAAAATGAATTTGACATCCAAGAGCTAAAGGCTGCCATTCCTTTCAAAAGGAATGTCAGAGATCTGAGGCTGAACTGTTCGCTAGCAGAGTGTAGGTTGAGGAGTCTCTTAGTGAGATTTAAGAGAGATCTGGTATATGAGAGAGAATATGACTGGTTACTGTTCTCCGAGATAATAAGGGACAATGGTGATTGGGATACCGAGCTATCCAGCGAACAGCAGACAATACTACAAAGACTCTGGAAGTCCACTCAAGGATCAATAAGAGCCAGTAGATATGTTGGAGGTAACAAGCTGAAGATGGTTTGCAACGCCTCCTTAAAAGCACATTGTGCGACCGCTTATCTAGGGAAGGTAAAAAGATGACTCTGTTAACTGCCAAGGCTAGAATCAATGAAAAGAATGTCAATTCTATGCCAAAGGCAGAGCTACAAGCAGCAGTATTGGCAGTGAGGCTGTACAAAAAATTGAACTTGAAGGGAGTAGAAGTTAGTTTTCATATCAATAATAATGCAGTCTTCAGACAGATACAAAATGCTGATGCTAAGCTGGATGCATTCACAAGAAACAGAATAAGATACATTACCAGTAACTCGAATCCTTCTTCTTGGAAAAGGATTGAAGGCAAGTCAAATCCAGCTGATCTCGGTACCAGAAGGAGGAAGCATTCAGACAAACAATGGTTGACGCCTGTTATATCAGGTATGACTCAGTGCGTATCTCTGGGGAACATCTTTAGACCATTTTCCCATGACTGGGAAAAGATGGTGCGAATAGCACAACTTATAGTGAAGTGGGTACACCGGGACATGCCAGTATACCAACAAAGAAGACTAGCAATAGCCTACCTGTTGAGGGACGAGCAAAGGAGTAACTCAGGCAAGAAGCTCCAGGAGCTGGAGCCATTTAAGGACTCCTACAGAGTTATCCGAATAAATGGAAGGTTGAGAAATGCTCACGGGATGCCATATGATGCATGGCACCCCATCCTGATAACAAGAATGACAGGCTTGTTTAGAGCCATAGTCTTCACAGCTCACAATTAAGCAGCACATCAGGGTGTACAAAAGACCAGGGCATGGATCAGAAAGCAATTCTGGTTACACAAAGGCACAGCCCAGATAAAGACCATAGTTGAAACATGCCCCTACTGCATACGATATAAGACAAACAGGACTTACAGTATTCAGCAAGCTCCTCTACCAGATGTGCGCATTGAGAAGCCACTGCGACCCTTTAGAAATGTAGGAGTAGATCACGCGGGACCATATTACACTGATGAAGGTGAACAAAGATTTGTTCTACTCATAGCCTCCTACCAAATGAGGGCAGTACACTTGGAGATCTGTACATCAACATCCTTTGGACACACAAAGGAGGCATGGACTAGGTTTATGGCAAGACGAGGTCACCCAGAGAATGTACACTCAGATGGAGCTGGAGCATTTAGGAGATTGTCTGAGGAAATGGAGAGAGCAGGAATCTGCTGGAAACTAATACCAGCTAATTCTCCTCATAGAGGAGGATTATGGGAATCTTTAGCAAAATAAGTTTGTTTTTGTAATATACTGTATTGTTCATTTTTCTGTTGATAATATCTTTCTTTAATAAATAAAAATTGTTTTTTCATCTTAAGAATGTCAACTTTAATAAGTTTAATCAAAAATTTTTATAATGTGTATGAATATTTAAATTTAAACTGTAGACAAAGTTGGATAATATATCATTTGGTTCTTCGTGTCTTCTTTATTTTGAACTTAAGCCGCACTTTGAATAACTCTGAGCACTGTAACTGTTTTAACCTTCATTTTTGAAATAATTGCAGCGCTTTCTTCTTTCTCGAAAATTGTATTAAAGTCTTTTGTTTGAAAAACAGCACTTTCAAATGTTAAGATCTCCATATCAAATTCTGCAATGATGCTACCAGGAGTAAAGCGAAAACTGTTCAACTTATTAAATGAAGAAATTCTCTCATCTTTTGATTTTACTATGATGTCTATTATTGATTCACGAATATTTCGCGTAAGATTCCGATATTCTTCGCTGGTTTGATTATTAAGACCGTCAGTAAAACTCTGATCAATTAGCCATTTCATTTGAACAATAGCTATTGAAAAGAAGAGTTAAAAGAAAGATTTTATTGATTATTAAAAGTATGAAAAATAATTATACTTAGTTTCTCCCCTTCTTTATCCTTTATCGAAGCTAAAACGTACATGTGTGTTTAATAAAAATGATTAATTCTTAGTGCATAGGCTTAATTCTAAAACTTGAAAATGTATAAAATAAACAAACTGAAATTAGTTGCAATGAAATATAGTCCAATGATTAAACCCAAAAGTAAAATCATAAAAATAACGGTGCAGAGTAAACATATCAAACAGTCTTTTACTTTGGTAGCTCCATTAGTATTATCTTTAGAGTAGTGAACTTTGTTTTGATCTTGAATCTCATCCAGTTCGATTTCCTTCAAAGAGTAAAAACATAGATGGTAATTTAAGTTTAATTCTACTGTTAAATAAAAGTATAAATAGTTTTAATATTAAATTTTTCATAACAATAGAAGAATGCAGACTTATTCAAAACTTAGACCTCAGTAAAATATAACCTGTAGGCCTAAGTTAGAAAATGTATCATATCAACTATTAAATTGTATGTTCCTTCTTAAGGGTAGAAAATCCATCTTTCATTCTATAAGAAATAGAGACAATTCAAAATTATCAAATTGACGTACCTTTACTTTTGTAACCATATTTTTTGAGAAAAAAAGGTAATTTTAACACAATAATACGATTAAAATGTTAAAAAAAGACAGAGATCGTATTTTCTCTCTGTATCCCTGTCTCCCTCTCTCTCTTTCTGTCTCTGAAAATACAATATTAAAGGTTCAATATAGAAACTCATTCTATAAATATTTACAGCACATATAGTAATATATACATAAATTTATATATATATTCTCTGACGATGACAAATTCGATTTCCCTCAAAGTCTTAGAGGATGTACATTAAATTTTACTCTTTACGTCAACTTTTAAAACAATTTATATAGAAAATACGATAAATTCGTTAAAAATGTATTTTAACTATGAGTAATGGCTTTATTCATTTCTTTTTTACATATCCAAAATACACCGATAGAAATACAATAATTCCAATTAGAATAAGACTTAAAATGAAACCAGTAATGCATAGTTTTACATTTCTTGTACAAGTGCAAGTGTTTGTTGGAGGTAAAGTTGGTTTCGAGTTAATGACCTCTTGTTTGAAAAACATTACATCCCTGTCAACCTGTAAGATGGGGCGAGAAATGAATCATCAATAAGTATGTATAAATTCAATAAATTCTATAAAATTATTACTAATACTTACAGATGGAGAATTTATATTGTTAGTTTCTAGTTGGGGATTTTCGCCTTTGGCTATCCACTAAAAATCAAAAAATAATGTTATATTCATTATTTACAAACAAAACAATCTATCTTTATCTATAATATTTAGAAATGAATGCAAGATTGCTTATATGGCGAAAACATAGTAAAACATGATTTGCCGAACTAGATTTTATTAATTATTGCTTTTTTTCTATATTTCTTACCCGAAATTCCTCCATTTTACAGTTTTGTATTTAAAAACATGAAGTAAATTTCTCGTTACATTTAAATAAAATCGACCTGATCTTAGGAAAAATATTAACATTTAAAGAATACACTAGACTAACTGAGGTTCAAAACAGTACTAAACAATGTTTTCAATTCCTTGACAAAGCAGTTTAATATGCTATTAGAACTACTATTGAATGCTCCTATAAAAGGTTATGTCCTATAAAAGCTATTTAGATACGGTGAAACCATTGCAATTTTTTCAAAAAAGTATGTTTTTCCAATCAGGAAAGTCCCTGTTTGTTGGCAGGCAAAGAGCAGAGGAGATTTTCATCAAATTTTGCTCATTTCAAAAAATTCCAAGTGTTGCAGTTTCCACTTTAATCGTCATATCTTGTGATAATGAAAACTTTGTTATACTAATAAATAGACAGTACATAACCAACGATAAATGCATGCATTTGTCTCCAAAAACATGAAGAAAAGAGTTAAAAGTGAAAACAAAATCTATGGAGCACAGATAAGAGTTATTTGAATATTTTCCCCATTTTCTATTCATTCCAAATGTTTGAGTTCAATAGACTATTCATCCTGTTCTACCAACCATCCAGACTATTATTTGTTTTAATTGAGAGACCCAACACTGAACAATCTTCAGGTTTTCATATCAATTTACATATCCATGTATCTTCAAAACACAACAGATTTCTTTCTGCCAAATGTTGCAACAATGCTATCAGCTGATAGAAATGGTAATACCGTGATTTTTCTAACATCACTCCATTCTTCTCCCTTCTCCCTATGTTGTTTGGAAAAAAATCAAGATGACCAACTTGAAAAGACTAAAATTATTAAAAACTGGTACATTCTTAAAAAACAAAAAATGGTGGAACTTTAGAACGGTGGAAGTAGTTTTCAATATCTTATACATATTATATATAACATTTTTCAAAATACATAGATGAACCAATTTCTATTAATCATAAAAAAGTGGGTACGATTTAAACTGGTTACGTTATAATAAAAGTTCGGAAAAACCACTAGTGGGAAGGCTTTGATCCGAATACAGCTTAACCCAGGTAATGTTTCACCCCATCTTCATGGCTACATTCATTTTAACCACAATGGTTTTGAACCCTAATACTTCTTTGTACAAATCGCTACTGAAATATGTTTAACCTTCTAACAAATAATTTAGTTGTGACATTAAATAATTTTAAAATATGATAGTTTTATTCAAATACTTTGAAACCGAATTTATAAATTTTTGCAAGAGTTACAACAATATGCTCTTAACATGTTACAGAAAGCCGATCCGTATTTAGACGCTCCTTGACTACAAGTTACTTGATCAACAATTTCTTGGTTTGCATTTCTCAAGTTGAACAAATAATTGTAATCAATGCATGCTGCAGCTGCTGTTGTTGTTGTTGGTGCTGCGGTTGTTGTCGTTGTTGTTGTTGTTGGTGCGGCGGTTGTTGTCGTTGTAGCTACTGTTGGGGCAGATGTAACTGGGGCTTCGTCTCCATTACAATTCTTTCCTGTAAATCCAACTGCACATTCGCATACGTAATCAGAGTTTCCGTATTGACGACAAACACCGCCATTCTTACATGGGTTTGGATCACAAAGAGAACTTGTACTTGTTGCCGCATCGTTTTCATTGATCAATCCTTTGCTTCTACATTCTCTACAACATGACTGGTCGAATTGACCGAAACACAAGTGTGGCATTTCTCCAATAATTTCACCACAGCTGGTGAATGTTCTTGTATGGGTTCCATAGTTGACTGGAACGTTGATTGGCGAATTAGTACAACCGCTTGGAACGTTTCTTGTCAATGTTGATCCTGATGTACATTCGGCGTTGTGACTTTCTTTGCTGTACAAATTGACTTGAGAAGATTCGACACATCGTCCCTTCAAACAGACTTTGTCATTTCCACATGATGATCCATCTTCGGCTCCTGGTTCTTCGAATTTACAAAAGTTTCCCACTCTACAGACGAGACGGTGACAAATATCATCTTTTTCGCTTTGAGCGCAACCAACATCGTTAGCAACGGCTCCATTACCAAATCTCAATGTACATTGTTCATTCAATGAATATTTGACTCCTGGAAGTACTTCATCAGCAGTGGCTTCGTTTTGGTTGAATGCGTCGTGTCCACATACTCTGTTCATCAAACATACTCTTTTAAATCCATTTTGACCGTTTCCAATAACTGTGTTGTAGATGGAATTGATTGAGCATTGACTCAAAACGAAAGCGTTCTTCAATTGATTGATTGTGTAGAAAGTGAGTGTGGGAGTCATGACATTTTGAACACTGGCGGCACAAGCATCATTTGGTGCAGTACCATCGTGAGGAGAGCCAAGATTGTGTCCGAGTTCGTGAGCAGCTGTCTTCCAAGAGTCCATGCCGAGATCTTCGTTGATTGAGATACCTCTTCTGGAACAAACTCCTGCTACTGGGGCAAATCCAATTGTGCTGTGACTCGATCCGTAAATGTCTTTTTTAGTCCAAACGAAAGTGTGATCCCAATCCATCCAGTCGGCTCCTCCAGTGTTGGCGGAATTATCCATCCAGAGAGAGATTTGATTTAATGATTCGCCGGCACTGATTACTTCTCTACCATTATACATAGCCATATTCAAAGGAGATGGTCCGTCAGTGAATGGACAGTTTTGTTTTTCCTTTACAATCATGATTTTCTTGACAAACAATGACATCATGAATCTTGGATCGTTGATTCTTCTGTAGACGAGATCAATTCCGTTCATGATATGACTGTAATGATATCTGATAGCAGAAACGGCGTCGCTTTCGGAATTGGTAACTGTTGATTGGAGGAAGTATTCCCATACTGTGTAATCAATGATGTTTGCGGCCTCAATGTGATAGTGAGGTTTGGAGACGGCTCTCTTAGATCTTTGTGTGAGTTGATCAATTTCGAAAGAGGATAGTTGGGAAGTCAAGGATTTATCAGAGAAGGATGGAATATCGAGAACGTGTTCATCATCATCACCGTCTTTCTTTGGAGCGATGGATACTTCGAAACCTTCATTTTCAAATTTTCCTTCAATAGATCTTTTGACTTTTCCATCAACAAGTTTTTCAGTGACCATAACGGCGGCACCAGTATTGATATCTTGATAAGCATGAACTCCATCCAAATAACCTTCAGCAACATCTCCATTGTGGAATACAATTTTCATGTTTGTGTTGATGTTGGTGTTTCTTTTGAGACGGAGTTGGATTGAGCTTTTTTCGAGAGGAATAGCAACGTGGAACTCATGATGGTCATCGAGTGAACGTCTAACTCTTCTGAATTCTTGAATTTTCACAGTCCTTTGTTCTGAAAAGTGAAAAACGTTTGAAGAATATTTCATTAAAATGTTATAGTTTGAAAATTTGTAAAACCAACGAATAGGAACTGCGGCAATAACGCCAATGAGGCAAATAGCTAGTAAGAGTTTCATGATTGGAGAAACAGTTGCTGCTTAAGTTATGAGAGGGAGATCTGCCTTTTATACTTTTTATTATCAATGAATTATAAAAAAGTTGCATCTGGACAAATATGGATAGTGATTTTTGTTGACTTGATTAATCTTTTTTTAATTACTATGTTTACTTTTATGGAAATGTTTTTTGTTGGTTTTTAATATTAGTATTTTCAGAATTATTTGGTTAGATGTTTTGGACATGATGACCTAATAGCTGTAGATTTTGATTACATAAGCCTATTGTTTTTGTTATAAGGACTTTGAGTAAATGACTTGATAATGAGGGTGTTGAATTAGAAGGAAATGATAATGAAGATTCTTTGGAAAAAAGGATAGTTTGTTTTATCGATGAATGGATTAGTTAAATTTCAGATTTATTGACATTGTAGCCTTCTTGGATTTTAATGATATTGAAACATATATTTTGTGAGAGAATTTAGCTTCTTTCTGACACTTGCAAATGCTATCATAGTTTCAGTTACCTTGATATTTTGTTACAGAGAAGGTTTCTATTAGAAATATGTTATGCAGTGAGAAACAAGTATTTTGATGAAAGGTACCATAGATCCCTATGTTCTTTTTAGTGTGACCTGTCAATGGTTAGAAATCTTTTAAACCGTAATAACTACGAAGTTTAATTGGATTAAGAATAATGTCTAATTAAGGAACTAGAAAAGGAACAAAAACCTGGTTTCAAAAGAAGTCTACACTTTTTTAACATAATATGTAGAATCGATAACAGCATTGTTTAACAGAGA